TGAAACTCTTACCCAAGGTAATTGCTAGTCTTCCTGGCATTAGAAGGAATGTGTATAGAAAAAAAATTGGGTTTTAATAACCTCAGGAAGGGCAGACTTGTAAACCTGTAAGCTTTTACAACGTGGCTTTGTCTTTTTTTAGTTTCACAATCGTGTCTCACGCTGCAAATTCTGTAAATTCCTGTCAAAAGCCCTGTAAAAACCTGTCATGCTTGGCGAAATGGTACTAGCGTCATTGTAACGCCATTTCTCTCTTTTCCGTCTTGACCACTCATCTTGATACCTCCCTCCCCCCTCCAAGACGAGTAGGATTAATACGCCTGGCAGGACGGAATTCCGCGACCCTGAGCAGGCGCTGCATAGCGCCTTTCCCAAGGAAGGTGCCCTTATAAGGGCCCTATCAAGCTACAACATTACGACCCGAACGCCCGCCACGCCCGCCCGCCCACAAATGGACGACCGTTCCTGACGCTCTAATCGATTCATTTGCTAAGCAAATTATGAAGCGAAGGGATTGGTATGAAGCGGCCGTGATGCTGCATGGATATATGAGTACACATATGCAGCCGTATCTACCGTAAGGGTTATTGACAGGGACAAGATGCCTACGGGAAACTCGTCCAAAATCGATTTTCAAGTCATTGAGAACGGAGGCTCTTTCTTCGCAGGATTTTGACCGTTTCACTCCGTTCTTTCGCCATTTCCCATTTCCCCTACTAGCATTTTAGGCCGAGCACCAAATCATCGTGCCAACTGCCTTCAAGAGGAGTTTAGAGGGTGCTTGACAGGTGATAACAAGACTCATATTGTGTTGACAAGGTTGCCTGGTATTCACATTTGTGCAGCTTGAAGGACTTGCTATGCTCACAAGCGCTTACAGGTCTGCCACCCCCCCCGCCCACCCCTCATGTTGTTAACGCCAAAAGGTGGTTGAGGTGATAGCGAATGTGATCGACAATTATTTGCAGGACATGGTGCGAATGAAGCGTACCGTGGAGAACATCAAAGATCCGCTGTTCCGTTTCTTCGAGCGAGAAATCAACCTGGGATCACAGTTGCTTCGCGATATTCGTCACGATCTGGCAGAGATTCTGTCGGTTTGTCGCGCCGAGCGTAAACAGAGTAACGAAACCCGAGCCCTAGCATCGGCACTACAGAAAGGAGTTGTAAGTTCCAAGATTTCTCAAGTTTTTGGTGTCAGGCCGTGGCTGTGTTCATACTTCGTAACTCGAGCGATTCACTCGCTCGATTCAGAAATTGCTCGAGTTACGGAGTCTAAACACGCCTTATAGGCGCACTTTCTGCGAATCGAACTAGGTCTGGCTCTGTTGTAGGTACCAACAAACTGGCAGCGTTACACTGTGCCAAGAGACGTGACTGTAATGGATTGGGTTCGTCGATTTCAACGAACGCGTCAGACAGCTCATAAGAATTGGTGCCAGTGATAATCTGAAGGTGAGAAAATGATTTAAATTATGAGTGGGTATCCTGAGGTTGAATGTATAATCGACGCCCGAGTTAAAGAACCTTTAACGACGGGGGTTGTATCTGAGTCGATTCAGAATAGGATCGTGTTTCGCTTGCTGAAAAGGGTCAGACGTGAGGCTGCGGTGAAAGGGGAACTCGTGCTGAATAAGCCAGGGCACTTCGTTGTTGGGGATTCCCTAACAGAGGGGGGGTCGTATTCGGGCTGGGTTTCTTTATGACAGTTCATTTCCAGGGACGGTGTAAGGGGGGGGGCATATTTGTTGTTGCTGTTGGTAGGAGACCCGTATTTCACTTCTGGCCTTCTGGTGGGAGAGGTTGCTAAGTTTTCGCGGTTTTTCCTGTTTCATATGTACTGTACACCTCCTCCTCCCTTCCCCTCCCCATCAACAGCAAATCCTTTTTTGGGTAAAGTAGGAATATTTCCGGTTCCGGAAAAAAAGTGGTAGAAAATTGGGGGAAATCTAGGAAAAAGCTGAGCAGGATGGGGAAGGGCGAAGTCGTATCAAGCCACTCCCTAGAGGGGCGGGGGTCGTACCAACCCCTTTTAAAAAAAGGGGGGGGGTCGCATGGACGCGACCAAAATCTCCAACCAATGATGTGCTCTGGAATGAGCTATTTCCCTTATCTCTTCTGACATGCCTTGCGCGTACTGGTGCTGCTGGTTCGGCATAGGATTAATTTTAGCAGCGCGCTTTCCTTTTGAAACACTCGATTCCTTAATCTGCATTTTTTTCCTTGGTTTGCTCATACGTACGGTGGTAAGTACGAGGTCCTGATAAGAATGTCACTTGTAGATTGAGTTTCAGCTTACATTACTTTTTCGAATATGTTGACCATTTTTCAGCGCGAAGAGGTTTGGTTAGGAGGCACGTTCTCGCCTGAAGCCTATGTGACAGCTACAAGGCAACAAGTTGCTCAAATGAATACGTGGTCACTTGAACAGCTTCATTTACATGTGATGATTGGACGAACGGACCGGTTGGATGTTGTTCGTTTAACTGGTGAGTAAATGTTGGACTAGATGGCTTAAAAGCAGGGGCACTATCGTTGGAGGCGGGCGATTGCTGCAAGCTTCATTGGTGTAAGGGCGTTAGGCCGTACCCCACTCCGCCTTCCACCAATGACGTTTTCAGTAACGGCCCGCCCCAGCCATATGTCCACTGTCTTTAAGTTCAACTACCCTTTTGTTGTCATTTACTGTTTCCTTCAGTTTTCATGCTTTGTTTT